TTTTTTGTCTTTTTTTAAAAAGATTTTAAAATGTCAAAAATACATAAATACTGGACAAGAAACCCCAGGAGACTCTTATTGTGTAATATTTCGACTGTTGATACATCATCGCTTCAATCTTAACTTTTAGGGTCAGATTCACCTCCATGCTTTGGCTGCACAGCTGTAATGCAAACTAGCCATGCTGGCCAGTTACCCTGGTGTCTCCATATTATTTTACAAGTAGATGTACCGGTGGTGTTAAAGGCTATTGTGTGTTAACTGTACATGAAAAAAAGTCCCTCAGTTACACCTGTGAAATTGCCTCATCAGTGTAAGGTCTCACCCCTACATGAGTTCAGCACATAATCCAAAAGGGAAGTTACAAACCATATAATCAGTGTCGCTATGCCGCCACCATGAGTCAATGTGACGCGACAGAAACAGCTACAGGCATGGCTGAGAGCTCCTTTGTTTAGAATATCATCAGCTTGAATCATCCCTGGGGTTGGTGATCTGTTACCATTTTGTTTAAATCTCAGCCATTTTTTGGCTTTTTTATATTTTACAAATTAAAGCCTGGTGTGTTGTATGGGTGTCATCTAGTACAAAAGGGAGTTCACAATTTGACCAAGACCCATCCTATTGTCACAGGTTCACCTTCACTTACCTCTTTAAGCTGCCCTCTCCTGCTTTCCACTTTCTGTCCAGGCTCTGGCTACTTTCTGCAAATAATGACAAAAATCCAGCATGACCTTCCCTTCCCTACAGTCACAGACTGATGGGCATGGCCACTGCTGCTGAGCTGTGGGAGCTAATGTAGAGGGGTGCTGCTGTGCAACACTGTGGCTCAGCGGGAGCTGCAGCCTGTGTCCCCTAGTTGTTGGGTTTGCAGGCACACTGGGTCACTCCCTACCTTCAGTGTAACACTGGCTCTTCTAGCCTCTAGGCTAGGTCAGTGACCTGGTCCCAAAGCCCCAGGCTAGACTCTACAAAGCCTGACTGAGGGGTTGCAACACTCAGCATTGCAATGGCTAACTTTCAGGTGCTTAAAAAAAGTCATTGACCAGCAATGGAATCCACAAAGCCTGACAGCGTCCCGAGGCTCCCTATCCAAAAAATGAGGGGAGAGCGGTGATGAAGAATGCAATCCACAAAAGCCAGCATGGTAGCCAGCTCACCACCTGAGATGCTAATGAGAGGGATGTGTCCTTATTCCCTCCCTTTGCACAGTTAGGCACCTTAGTCCAAGCTGTAGGGAGGGACCTCGCTCTGCTTGCTATCCCTAGCCAGGAACCCCTCTACTGGAAACAGGCAACTTGGGGGGGGGGGGAGGGGCTACATTGTTTCTTGTGAGAAGGACTTAAATGTGCCTGCCTCGTCCCACACAAAATGGCTGCAGAAGGCAGGGGTGACTTTATGCCTTTCAGTCCAGAGGTTGATGGGATGTAGGAGACACAGGGTCATTTCTCATAAAAACATAAGAGCGGCCATACTCAGTCAGACCAATGGTTAATCTAGCCCGGTAACCTGTCTTCTGACAGTGGCCAGTGTCAAGTGCCCCAGAGGGAATGACCAGAACAGGCAATCATTAAGTGATCTATCCTCAGCCGTCCAGCCCCAGCTTCTGGCACTCCAGGCCTAGGGACACCTAGAGCATGGGGTTGCCTCCCTGATCGTCTTGGCTAATAACCATTGACGGACCTATTCTCCAATAATTTACCTAATTTCCTTTTAACCCCTTTACAGTTTTGGCCTTGGCAATGAGGTCCACAGGGTGACTGCATTGTGTGAATAAGGTCTTCCTTTTTTGTTTGTTTTAAACCTTCTGCCTATAATTTCATTGGGTGACCCTTGGTTCATGTGTTATGTGAAGGAGTAAATAACGTTCTCCACGCCACACCAGTCATGATTGTATAGACCTCTATTATATTCTGACCATTTATTCCTACCTTTTGTTTTCTCTCTTTTAACCAGTGACTGCTGTATGAGCGGATCTTCCCACCTGGCCCATGACAGAGATTGTGGTCCATTCTATATTTCTCAGTAGGATTTGGCTTCCAATGTTCAAAGAATGTCTTTTTCCCTCCAACTGCTTCTTTTATTCTGTTTAGCTACAGTGGTATTTTTTTTGGTCCTTTTACTATGTTTTTTAATGTGGGGTATATATTTAATGTGCGCCTCTTGTTTAAAAATGTGTCCATGCAGCTTGCAGGCACTTCACTTTTCTGACTTCTAATTTCTGTTTAACTTGCTTCCTAATTTTTGTGTAATTCCCCTTCCTGAGGTTAAATGCTACTTGGGTAGACTTCTTTGGTGTCCCCCAGGGCATTACATTTAATTACATTATGGTCATTATTACCAAGCAGGTCAGCTCTATTCACCTCTTAGAACACATGGTGTACTCCACTTAGGCCTAAACTAAGAATTCTCTTCTCTTGTGGGCTCCAGGACTAGCTGGTCCAAGCAGCAGTCATTTATGGTGTCCTGAAACTTTAGCTCTGCATCCTGTCCTGAGGTGACATGTACCCAGTCAATATCACAAGAGTTGAAATCCCCCATTATTTTGAAATTTCTATTTTTATAGTCTCTCTAATCTCCTGGAGCATTTCCCAATCATTTCCCTCCTCTACTAAAGGGAGAGAGAGGATTTGAACAGGGGTTGCCCATCTCTCAAGAGTGTGCTCTGTCCATTGAGCTGTGGGCTATTCAGCGGTGGGCTTGTTTCAAACTCTCTTGCTGAAGCTATTCCACTGTGTATAAATAATTAGAGTTGTTGGAGCAGGGGAACTGGATCCTGGGTTTTTCACCTACCAGCTGGGTGCCCTCCGCACCAGGCAAATAGACACACATGCGCTCTCTTTCTAGTCCAATGACTCTTTGGTTATTTATCCAAAATGGAACACCTTCAACAGGAGAGACAGAGGATGCCCCCTTCTCCCATCAGACTATCCTATAGTTCAGGGGTTAGAGCACTCACCTGAGAGGCTTGGAAGACCTCTGTTCAAATCTTTTTTCTGCATCAGGTAGATAGGGAGAATTGAACCTGTCTTCCACACCCCAGCTGAGGGTGCTACCAGTGAGCTAAGTTATATGGTGCGCAGGCCCACCACCTCTTTTTCATGTTTTGAATGGGACCCAATCTTGTAGGCAAGCTCTGAGCATGCCTTGTGGTTTGGGCCCCCAGGTGGAATGAGGAATGCCTGGTTCACACAACACACCGGGGCTTAGGCAGGAGGTAGGTGCTCTGATGCCTAGAGGGAGGTACCACTGCACTTGCCCAACGGTAGAAACTTTGGCACCCAGGGAACTTTGACCCTGAAAATGTAGTTGCCGAGTTTACGCACCAACACGGTTCTAATCACACCGGCACCTAGTACCACCTAGTGGATCTGGGCCCCAGTGATCATGCCTATAACCTTCCCTCACCCAGCTCCAAACTGGCACCCTGCCTCCTCGCAAGCCTAACACCCTGCCTCCACTCCTGCCTCCCAAAGATCACTCTGTTTCTGCACCACAGCAGCTCCCTACTGTCTCAAAACTAACCCCTAGCAGCTTGCTCCCTCCTCAAGCTCTGTCATTCTAGCAGCTTCCATCTGCTTGCTCCAGTCTGCCACATCCAAGTGGCTACCTCAAACCCAGCATCTCCCCTGCTTACCTCATTATGACTGCTTCCCCCCCCCCCCCAGTTTTTGTCAACTCACCCAGCGCTGTATCCAAGTTACTCCTGGCAGTGCCGCCAAATCCTGAGATTCTCAGTCCCTCAAAAGTGGCCTGAGTGTGTTCCCAAACTCTCCTCTTACCTTGGGATTCTCAAAGCATGGTGGCTTTCCACACACTGTTGTTTGCTGGCTGTGGCTGCTCACCTCTCCCCATCTTCATTCTTGTGGGGGAGGGGGAACCCATGAAAGGGGCATTATCCCACAATCTTCCAGAACATCAGGCTTTTTAGAGGAAGGGCTATTGCCTTCTCACACAAGCTACAGGAGATAAGGCCCAGCTGGTAACTAATGTGCCAGGTCCCAGCAGGTGGTTCTCTGTGCTCTAGTGAAGCCTTGCCAAACGCGCACAAGGAACCCCTGAGCATAGGTAAACTCTGCCAAGTGGGGGCCTTCAAAGGGCTTGCTAGAAAATGCGGGGCATGGTAACACCCTTCTCCTACTTTTCCCACCCCAAACCCTGGGAGTAAGCGTTCAGGAGATATAATGTTTCCTCCAAAAGTCCCTGTGAATGGGCTCATGCCCTAGAGCTACGAACTCCTGCCTTTGCCTCCTATCCTCACTTACAGAATTGAGAGAGTCACCATCATTCATTAATTGAACTTGCCTTCCTGCCTCTCTCCTAGCCTCAGACCCTACCCTCCCAGCAGCCTTTTACCCACTCTGCCTTCTAGCCAGCCAGTCACCCTCCAGCGCTCAAGTCTGCCTGGCAGAAATCCAACCTCTCATCAAGCCAGCCTGGATATCTGGCACCCACCCATCCGCCATACCTGGCACCCACCGAGCCTCCCTGATAACTGTTCACCCTGCCACCAATCAATCATGCCCGCATCCTGCTCCATCCCTTCCCAAATCCTTTTGCTTGCATCTAGACAGAACCCCCCACTAAAACACTCCTCCTGCCTTGTCCCCATCCTGTATGACAGGCATCCTGGTTTTTCAGCTTGAAAATCTGGTCACCCTGTACCTCCTACATCTGCAGTCAATATGTTCCAACAACCCCCACCTCTGTGCCTCTCTCAGGGTGGGATAGCCAGTTGGTGGCTCAGCGATGTACCTGAGAACCAGTACATTTAAAAGGGTAAAACGTTTAACTAAAACTGGGCCCCTAACACAAAAATTGTGTAAACTTTAGTCAACAGAATGTGTGACCCTGTGTATGCATGCACATTTTCCCCTTGAACGCTCTGTCTGATGCAAAACCCATTGACTTCAAAAGGAGTACTTGCACTAAGTTCACTGGACTTCAGAACAGGCCCTTTATGTGCTACAAGCATAACAGAAGGATGCACAAAGCCGTAGTGACTGTACAACTTCATTTTATTTTGTGTGCTTTTATAGGATATAAATAAAATGACAAAATTACAAAATTTATAACTGGAAGCCCAAGCATATTTACATATATTTGTTGCAGTGAGGCTCTTATTTACTTCGTTCCTATACAATTTTCCTTTTGGTACCATATTTTTCAGTTATTTTTACTGTCAATTTACTACATACATATCAACAGTGAATAAGCAAAATATATACAAGGAACTATTTGTTCAAGTAAATTGAATACTGTATTAAAAGGTTTTCATTACTCAGAGCTATAGGCTTAATTAAACCATATACAATTATCAATTTTAAACCAAGTCCAGTTATCCATTTTTGGAATTCACCAATTGATGATTGTAATTGAAAAGCTCAGATAGATATGAAATAATAATAATAAAAAAACATTAAGACAACCACACAATTTATCAATATCTCTATAATGAACTTCAAAATGATTCACAATTTGACTGGATAGAACGATATACATTAAAATGTCATTTTTCTCCTATAATGATATTTGCACCGTTATAATTCAGTTCTACATAAATATACATTATGGTATTATACAAATACTCCACAGACATTAAAAAAATTAAAACACTTGAAAGAAAATGTAAGTAAATTTCATTTCATCAAGCAAATGCTTAACCATTTTTGTTTCATGAAAACAGTTTTATTACTTTGGAATTTTTTTCTCTTTCTTTTTTTTATTTAGAAAAATGTCTGCAGTAGAACTTCTTCTCTCAAACAAGCTTTCTTTGACAGAAACCTTGATAGCAAAATCTGTAGTTTTGATTATGTTCTCTAGAACCGCTGTTAAGATTTTAAAAAATACTAGTAGAATTCATGACTAAAGCAACAATAAACTGTGTAAATTGTTGTAGACAATGACTAGTCTGCTTCGATTCTGCTCCCATCAGATGAACCAACTAGTGCATCCACCATTGATATTTTGCTAAAGGTACAGTAGCAATTGTTTAGTCAACTTTAAAATAAACAAAATCTTTCATAGTTAATCTGACTTCATCTCCCATAAATATTTCTATGTTCTCCCATAGCATTCTTTTCCATAAAAATATCTAATACAAGACACATTTTCTGTGCATTATTCATTCCTCTTTTTAACTAATCATAAAATTCTCATCCTTTGTCACACTGTGATAGGTTATTTTTTTAAGAGGATCAAAGGACACTAATGATTACATATAAAACCAGCACATACAGAAATTGGGGTAACTAATTTCTTGTTATTTTATTATTATTTTAATACAATAAAGAGTAATTAATTCTTAGGAGTTCAGGGGTTTCACAAATATTGTATTTAATAATTCTATTTCAATTAAAACCGGCCAGGATTTAAATAACCAACCAAATGCCATACTCATAGGCAGCATTAATGTTAGTTTAGAGAACTTTTTAAAAAGTAGAATCCTAAAATAAGAAATCAAAGAAAGCACTGTGGCGGAGTTACAAGAGGACTGCTTGAAAAATATTTCCTCACTCTCCTTGCAGACTGTAATTTAAAAGTCTTCACATAGTGTCATTCTCCTGTCAGTGCTGCAGGAAGAAATAATTACCAGCCTTTTTTAGTTAGTTACAAGGCCACTCTTACAGTGCAGTCTTCCTCTCTACTGGATTGAAATGTTGCCGTAAAGGAAAGGCTGTGCTGTGACTACTTGGAGTGCAAGGCACAACAAGAACCAGAGGACTGTTTTGTATCAGAAAATTGTAGTTTCATACTTGGTATTAATTCCTCTTTTGGCTTCTTGTCCAGGTTCTACAATCCATGGTAGATTGGCAAGAGTCTTTTGTTCAGATGGATCTATCTGCTTTAAAACAAATACAAATAAATTCACACACTTAACTGGATCAGCACTTTTGTACAAAACATCTCACATACTAGTTTTGCGTCTGCTGAAGAGGTCATAGAATAAATCCCATGGTTTTACCATCACAGAGAAATCTGTACAGGACCATAGCTTACTTATAACTAAGCTTTATTAACGGCTTGATCCTGAGATGTGCTCTAACCTTTTTTAATATAGAGCCAGATGACAGCACCAGTGGCCAAACATTTTTCTTTCTTAAGATAATCTTTTACAAAGCAAAGCATTCTGTCACACATCACAAAACTGCAAGTTAATTACCTTATAGTAAGTGGAGGTTCTTTGAGATGGGTGGTCCCTATCTGTAGTTCTCTGTGGGTGCACATGTGCTTCATGTGCCCAGAGCTGGAGAATTTTGACAGCAACATCCATCCATCCACGCATGCACCCTGGCTCACTTCCTACCTCCAACCAAGGAAATAAAGAGCGGGGCAAACTGACCACCTCTCCATTTCCTTCTCTACCACAAAACAGACGATCCAAAACAAAGGGGAAGGAGGGTGGATAGTGGAATACAGAAAAGTACCACACATCTCGAAGAACCTGCAGCTATTATAAGGTAAGTAACCTCTTCTTCGCATGCTGGTTCTTAAGTGTATTGCACTGTGGGCGACTGACAAGCAGTACTCAACTAGGAGGAGGTTGTGAGGCTATAGGTGGCAGAGCCGAATGAAGGACTGCCATTCCAAAAGATGCATCAGCAGAGGAGTCCTATACCAAAGCAGAGTCTCGCAAACATGTGGACAGAGCTCCACATAGCTGATTTACAGATGTTGAGTAAAGGCACCTCTTGAAGCGATGCCATAGACATTGCTTGTGCTCTTGTGGAATGAGTTCTTACCCCAGGAGGTGGGAGAAGATTAGACAGCTGATAGAGCAAAATACAGCCTGAGATCCATTTTGAGATTTTTTTTTTTTTATATCCTGACCCCTGACCTTCTTTTCTTCTGAGTATGTGTGTGATTTTGGGAAGTACACAGGTAAGTGAATTGTCTGGTTCAGGTGAAACTCAGAGACTACTTTGGGGGTGAATTTAGGGTGTAAACATAATGAAACTTTGTCCTTATGGAATATAATGAAAGGAGGATCCGCCCTCAGCACTCCAAGCTCATCTGGCTGAGGTGATGGCTACCAGGAATGCACCCTTCATGGACATGAGAGAGACATGGAGCAAGAAGCTAATAATTCAAAAGGAGCCTTGGTAAGTACTGAGAGAACAAGGTTCAAGTCCCATTGAGAAGTATCTTTTTTTTTCTTTTTTAAAAAGATGGAAAGGTTCTGATAAGGCTTTTCCAGAATCTGCTCGTCAGTGGGTGTGAGAAGATCGAAGAGCCCTGTGAAAGTGGAGGGCAATCTGACCTCATTCCATTAATAGCTACTCTTTGTTTGGGGTTGTTTCACCACATATGTATTCACTGAATAGTAGTTCTGTCCAGCCTGCATTTCTCCAGCTTTCTTCTCAGAGTGTGTCATGTGAGCCTGTGCCAAACACCCTTGCTGAATTCCAGGTATACTATGTCCCCAGCATTCCCCCTATTCACCAAATCAGGTACCCTGGCAAAGAAGGAAATCAAGCTGGTTTGGCATGATTTGTTCTTGGTAAATCCATACTGGCTGGTGGTGATTACCTCTTCATCCTGCAGGTATTCACCAATTGGATGTTTTGTGCACTGCTCGAGTAGCTTCCTAGGTATCGAAGTCAGACTGACTGATCAATAGTTCCCTGTTAATGAACTGATCTGTGTCCAAGAGGCCATCCCCCATCACCCTTGCTGGGCAGGCTCCCAGTGGATGGAGCATTCAAAAGGGAGCAGCTCAACCCAGTCGGGGCTGGCTGAGGAGGAGAGCGGTTGTGTGCAGCAGCCTCCTGCTGGGAAGCCACTGGGACTCCAAGTTGCCGGGGCTGAATCTCCTAGCTGCACCATGGGAAGCCAGTCAACTACAGGAACAGAAGGGGATGAGTTGCTGTTGCCAGTGGAGGAGCTGCCAGGGATGAAGCAGAGGGAAATTGAGAGGGATCCCACATCCAACCCTGGAAACAACACCGGAGGGACTGGGACGAGACTAGGACGCGACTCAGGGAATGTGCCTGGGGGTATTGGGACCTGAACCCGGTGTCAGGATACTTGGTTTTGAAGGGCCCTGGTTCAGAACCTGGTGGGGGAAGGGTGGGCCTTGGATCCCCTACTCTCCCCACTCTATAACAGGGTTTAAAAGAGAACTGGATAAATTCATGGAGGCTAAGTCCATTCATGGCTATTAGCCAGGATGGATAAGGAATGGTGTCCCTAGCTTCTGTTTGTCAGAGGGTGGAGATGGATGGCAGGAGAGAGATCACTAATCATTACCTGTTAGGTTCACTCCCTCTGGGTCACCTGTCATTGATCACTGTCGGTAGACAGGATACTGGGCTGGATGGACCTTTGGTCTAACCCAGTATGGCCATTCTTCTGTTCTTATGCACTGATTGCCACCAAGTGGACCCATAAGGAGCTGACGGATAAATCTGCTGTCTTTATGGAAAGGATACAGTCCAGAATGAGAGTAATACCTGTAGCTTCTAGGGGTGTGTATCGTTTATGTGCTCAGACAGAAGAACGCTTCCACTTGGCTAGGCAACATTTCCTAGTGGAATCCTTCCTATTGTTAAAAAGGATGTTCTGTACAGGTTCAGAACATGATCGCTCTAAGGATGATGCCCATCCAAAAACCAGGCTCTGAGATGAAGCAGATGTGTGTTGGGATACTTGATCTTGCTGTTCCTCTGGATCAGGAGATCAAGAATGTTGGAATAATGATCAGTGCCCGAGACAACATGTGTAGGAGGTTCAGGAACAAAAACTCACTGGGCCAGATGGGGACTTGTGCCCTGTCCTGCTGAATCTTGTGCAAAACTCGAGACAGGAGTAGTAGTGGCATAGGGAAGGCATAATTCAGATGGTTTGACCATGGAAGCAGCAGAACATCATCCTGTGAGTGGCAACCTATGGCTCGTCTGGAACAGTAAATGTTGCATTCCATGTTTGTTCGGTAGGTCAACAAGTCCCTGGTGGGGGGTCTCCCAGAGAATGAGAATATTGTTCATCACAGAGTCATGTAAGTCCTACTTGTGATCGACAGAAAAGTGTCTGCTGAGAGAGTCCACTAGCACATTCCTGGTTTCCTGGTAGGTAGACTGCTGACAGGGTAATCTGATTGCTGATGCACCAGTTCCACAGACTGACAGCTTCTGCACATGGGAGATGGATCTCGCTCCTCCCTGTTGGATGTAAAAGACAGTTGTGATGTTGTCCAACATTATGAAGACACAGTGACTTTGAATGACCAGGAGAAAGGCTTTGCAAGTCCTTAAAACTGTTCATGGCTTTAGAACATTGATGTGCATCCTGGATTCTCGAGATGTCCAGGTGCCTTGTGCTTTATGTTTGTCCATGTGCAATCCCCAACCCAAAGGTAATGATCATCCTGTCCGGTGCAGAGGCGAGGAAGGGAATACCAACACATACCTGGTGGGGATTCTTCCACCATAACAGCGACAGTTTCACTTTGGTGGGATCAGTCACTATGGTGTTCATGGATTGTCGGTTTGGCAAGTACATAGCTTGGAGCCATGCTTGTAGGCAATGAGGGTAGAGTCTTGCAAATAGCATGACATAAGTGCATGAGGCTATATGGCCTAGGAAACAGAGACAGGTCCTGATAGGCACTCGTGGGTTGCTTATGACCTGGTCCATAATAGTGTTCATAGCTGAAACCTGTCCTAAACAGGTAAGCCCTGGCCATGGATGAATTTAAGGAAGCCTCAATGAAGTATAAATTCAATGTAGGGGTGATGATGGATTTTTTTCCAGCATTTCCGCTGATGCCCCAAAGAAGAGAGGAGTTGCAGCATTGTCGAAGTCAATGTACGGGCCTCTTGGCATGACCTGGAGCCAATTGTCAAAATGCAGATGATGGTGTAGGCACAATGTCTCATATAGTCTTCTACTACAGAAAACACCTTGGTAACTACCCTGGGGAGGTAGCAGTGCTGAAAAGGAGTACTCTGTATTGAAAGTGATCAGAGCCCACCATGAATCTATCTGAGAAAGTGTCTGTGAGCAGGGTGGATGTCCACACGAAAGTAGGCGTCCATGTCAAGAGCTGTAAACCACATGTCCTTTTCCAGGGATGGAATTATAGATGCCAACATCTCTATAAGGAACTTGAGTTTGTGAATAAAGAGGTTGAGATGGCAGAGGTCCAGACTGGATCTCCAACCGTCCTTCTTTTTGGGTATTAGGCAGTATGGCAAGTAAAAACCACCCCCTTAGTACTGCAGAGCAATCCACTCTATCATTCCTCACTGTAAGAAATATTCCACTTCTTGCTTGAGACTGTTCTAGTGCAGTGGTCCCCAAACTTTTCAGGGTCATGCCCCCCCCTTACTGCTGTCCATGCCCCCACCCAACTGGGGCCAGGAGCAGGGGTGTGACTCAGAGTGGGAGATGCAGACAGGGTAAAGGGGGTTGAGGCTGAGGCTGTAGCTGGGAGTGGGTCTGGGGCCAGGGCTGGGAATGGGGCAGGGGTGGGGCAGGAAGAGTTGGGGCGGGGTGGGGGCTTGGGGGAAAGGGTGCAGTGTGGGTGGGGCCTGGGGGGACCAGCGGTCAAGCACCCCCTGGAAACTGGGGAAGTTGGCACCTCTGCCCCTGGTAGATTTATAACCTCTCTCAAGAGGGTGGGACCCAATGGAGTGGGAGACTCTGGGTCTGGGGGAAAGTGAAAATATGCTCAGGAGGAGTGTAGGTTTCAGCTCTTCCTGGAGTGAGAAAGGTCCTGGCCACCCAAACCACAGTCTGTGCCTCAGCTATTGAAGACAAAGATGGTACTGTGGGTAATGCTCTTGGTGATTGGTCTTCATCGGTGCTGGTGGATCCCACGGTTTCTGTTTGGGGGATACCAGAGGCACCAGTGTCCTCGATCACAATCCAGTGCTCGTGGACGCCCTTGACTTGAGGGCTTTCTTGTCATGGTTTGGGACACACTAAGTTCTCTTGGTCTGAGCTTGCTCAGTTTAGGCAGCGATGAATCTGACTTCTTTGAAGTAGGTTTGGAGGAAGACTTAGCCTCCTGCTTATGGGAATTCTCCCAGCTCACCTGACAAGACGTCACTGAAGGATCTATGGGGGTAGACCCCTTCGCTTTGGACTTGGACCTTGTGGCAGGAGGTGCACTCCTTGCTGAGTCAATCTGATATTGGGGCAGGGGGTGGCGGGGGGGGGAGGGGGGGGCGGAAGTTCCCTGGCCTGGGTCTGACTGAGGCTTCATGGCCTTTTCTATTAGATGCTTCCTAAGGTGAAGTTACCACACTTCCTGGGTCTGGCAGGGGAATGAAGGGCAGGTATTACACCTTGCCATGATGTGGGTGTCCCTGAGGCACTACAAACAGGTTGGGTGGTCAATGCTGATTAAGAAGAATCGCGGGCAGGAAGCCCAAATTTTGAAGCTGAGAGTCCTGGACATAATGCGGTACCCCCAGATCAGGGAGGCTAACTAAGTTACTCTGAAACACTAAAATGATCAGATACAAACTTTAAAACTCTAGAACTATGAACACTATTTACAGATATGTACTCATATTCCCAGAAAAAGGAGAAATCCAAAGCTTTGGACTCTGGAGGTTCCACACCGGACTACGTGGCGGTGAGAAGGAACTGGGGAGGTAGTTGCCCCAGCCCATCTTTTATCTCCTCAGTTGGAGGCACGAGGATAGCCAGGGACGTATGTGCGGACCAACGGACTTGACTTTCACATTTCTCTGGCTTCATGCACATGGAGTGCATGCATACTCACCGTGGAATATGCATAGGAACAAGCAGTCCAAGAGAACAATACCTCTGTGCCATTTACACACTTCAGAAGGGAGTTTTAAATTGAGTTAAATTAATAACATATATGTTCTAGCCATGCTGATCGTTCCATCTGGCCTTCATTTGGGAAGGAGTATCAGTTTAGATGAAATAACTTCACCAAAAAACAAACTATATCTAAACCATTTTTATTTTAGGTTAGAAATGTGGTTGCTTTCTTTTCAGTCCTGACAGATGCTTATTAGATCTTTTGAGACTTCAGTATTAGAGCTGACCAAATTTCAGACTTTCCAGTTCACAAGAAATTCTGACATTAGTTTCAGCCTGATTTCGATGGGTCAGTTTCACTGCTGCTATTGAGTGGTGGCCACCAGTAGAACTGACATGAATCATGTCAGCAGCAGCTGGGGATTCTGATAGCCATGGATCTGGGGCAGCCATGCCATGCAGAGTGCTCCTGGGGTAGGAACCCCAAGGCTTCCAAGCTCCCAGGCCAGCTGGCTCCCTGACCTGCCCAACTCCCATTCCTGCAGCCAGTGGCGCTAACTGGTGGTGGTGGGAGTCCAGCTGGCTGGGAGTCCAGCTCAGTCTCAAGGAGCCTGAAAACCCCCGACTCCCAAATAAGCTGGGGCTCTCAGAACTTTCAGGTTGCCTGCTGCAGTTGTGGGAGCCTAGACCTTGAGAGCCACATCTTGTGCTATGGCTCCCAGGGATGCCATGCTCCTGACTGCAGCAGCAGGGAGCCTCGAACCTCAGAGCCCTAGCTCAAGCAAGGATTTTAGGGCTTTCAGGCTCCCCGCTGCTGAAGCTAGGAGCTGAATCCCAGTTAAAGCTGGGACTTCCAGGATTTCCTGCTCCACTACAGGGAGCCTGGAAGCCCTGGGGTCCCTGGACCCAGACCAGACCGCATGGTTGCCCAGGAACCATGGACTTTTGAAGCCCACTGTTCCCAGTAGAACCGTATCCATAATTTGACAAAAATTAATTGAATCCAAAGTGTTTTTGTGAAATATTTAAGCAAGTCAGCATTTTTTGATTGACTCTTTAGTTGGACAATTCCTGACTATACTCAGACTAGATTTTAGCAATCTCTTGGACGGCAGACTGTCTTTAAGTCTCACAATTTCTAGCTCTTTTCCAAGTTTCCAGGAAAGAAGTTGTGTGTGTGGTGGGGGCCAATGAATTCTGGGACATCTTTAAGTTCTACATGCTCCAAATAATATTTGACTAGTTCAACCAATACCCAAAGATGAGACTGAAGACCTTTCCTTCTTAAGTGGAATGTCACTATAGATCGTGATTTTGTTAGGAATTGTGAAGAGGGAGATCAGGTCAGGGAACCTGTTTGGGCTTATGGAGAAAATATTAGAAAGGCGGGGTGGATTCCAGAGAAGAGGAGCTTTGAAAGCAGGGAGACTGTTGAGGGTCAAAAGACAGGAAGAAAGGAGAATGAGCTGGTTCTGATGGGAGGAGAAATGTAAAAAAATAGAATAGGAAGAAAGGATAGAATATGAAGAAAGGAAAAGGAAGATAATTGAAAGTTCAGTCAAGTCAAATTAGGATTCAGTTGTCAGAGGCCTTATCTGAACCAAAATTCTGTGCTTTCAAAACTTGCCAATCATTGATTTGCATCTGCAGTGATACTGTATTGGGGGAAGTCAAAGGCACTCAGTTAGAAGACACAACAGGATTATTGTGCTAATTATTGTCCTCAGAGGACTGGTTTTTGGTTAGTTTCTAAAGATGAACATATCAATGTTATGGTCTCATATTAGTGTCAAAGTTTAAAAAAAAGGGATAAAATACATCAAGCTACATTTTGTGTTGATTTACACCTTGTCGCAATCTCAGTGAAGTCAATGTGATCGCACAGGTTGTAAATCAGAGCTGATTGTAGTCCATGGCATTTAAAACAGCTACATTACACATGGAAATAAACACTGAAACATGTCAAGCAGTGGAATAACAGCATAAGAGATGCCTGACTCGTACTACATACACAACTTCTTAGAGTGGAAGGGTCTGAGATAAAGTGTTACAAATTGTTGGCATGCTGAGATTCTACAACTCCTTGCAGACTGTCTTTGGAGTGATGGATGCGGCCTAGCTTGTCTTGGGGGGTGCTTTTCTGACCAAACAAATATGTAAACTACTATCAAATTCATGCCAATGTATTTTTTTGTATAGCTGGGTTTTGATTTTCCTATTTGCTACTTACCACAGACTTTCGAATACTAACACGTGGTTTTGGAATTGGTTTGGTGGGTTTATTTTCAAAGCTTTCTGGGAGGGTTGAAGAATGGCCTCCTTTTCGTGCTTGTAGTGCGAGCTGGTAGGCTACCTCGAATGCCTGTCCAAGTGTTAGAATTATTTCATAGGCTAAATTCTGGAACAACAACAAAACATTCAAAATTAGAGTTAGGATAAATTAGCATTTATGAATATTAATTACGGACAATCCTGCCTAGTGCTGTGGGGTAGACTTTTACATGCCTGTAATGTACAAGTCAATGCTACCATATAAATATATTAATAATACAAATAGAAAAGATCTAGCAGGCCATCTTCAGTGTATCTTCAACATCTGTGATTCAATGTATATCTATCAAAGGGCAATCAAAGTGTGATTTGCCTTCATAAAAGGCATTATTCAATTATTGTACACAATCTCTCAATTGCTAAACATTAAAACAGGTGACCAGATTAGGTCAGTGTGGCCTCCTGACACCACATTACCAATACATAAATTGATGTTCTTGTATTTCTTCTCTGTGGCTTCATTCTGTGTTCCAGCATGATAATTCAAGGGAAATTCCTGTAAGTTTTATTTTAGTGACAGATCACAGAACTGAGCCAGTGGAAGGGGAGGGTGAGCCAAATCACATGCTTCCTCAACCAAGTCTGTGTGCATCATCCCCCAGGTAACCTTGATTGACTCGCCTTCAAGATGCCACCCATCTTGTTCCATTATTTCTTTAACATTTTACCCAGCTCTGCTTCAAGCCTGATCTCCCGACATGCCCTCTTTCAAAATCTGCAGTTTGAGTCATTACTTCCCTTTTCTTGTGTCTCTGAACACTCTGTGCTGCACTATCAGAGAATAGCAAAGGAGCAGGAGGGAACTCAACTTCAGTGAGCATTTCCAGAAAATCTAAAGGAAAATGGTTACAAGTGCACCCTTCACTTTACTGCGCTGCAAGTTGAAAATGCCGTGAGCCACATTCTCAGGCTTTGTCTTTTGCAGGAACTGGCCAAAGGGCTCTTGGGTGTTCAAATTCTCATTTAGAACTAGAACATCAGAGAATCCTGGGAGGTTACTGTACATCGTTGTGTGTTTGTTACCAAAGAAGTCAGATTCTACTAGAATAAGACCACTGGGTGACTGCATAACTAGAATAATACGAGTGCTCATTCATTGAGTATATGCAAAATGTAGGATAGAATATTTGTTAAAATAGCTGCTTGCTCAAAAAGTTGTGAAACTTGGACATTTGGATTTAAGGGATTAGTGTGACCATTTCCTTTGGTTTTGAGTAATGTCGGTTCAGCTTCCCTGTGGAACCTTTGAGCTTCAGATATGCACAAAACCCAAATCTCAAAGTGAAATTTAGTGGAAACCACCATGCTTCATTCAGTTTCAGGTTGAAACCATGCTAAATCAATCACACATGACTTTGATGCAAAGCCATACATTTGCACAAGCTCACTGAATAGGTTAGTGAATCCTTCAGCTAACCGTGTGTATGTTTCTAGTTTGTAAAAAAACAATGAAGCCATACAAGATTTGCATAAGTATAAAATCTGCCCTTCACTAGTTAGACAGTATAATTTTATCCTATCTCCTTACTTCAAGCCATAAGCTAAACCCCCACTGTCGTCGTGAAGGTATTTTCTCTCATGCTCTTGTAACACCCACTTTAGGAACAGTGTACCAAATTCAGACCTTCTGAAAGCAGGTGCACCTCCAATCATTTCAGCTAACGAAAGGGGCCAATTACTCCATCAGTTGCACAGGTGCAATTCCCACTGCCTTATGTGACAGTTGCATCCATGCAAATGATTAGGTTCATTGTAACTGGGTCCCAGATTTGCATTTGGCTCATTATAAAACCAGCTTTGGTCACTGTCCAGTGATAGACTAGATAGAAAAATTTACTTTTTAATTTGTCCATCCAAATGTGATCAGCTGCTGTCAAGGTCCCTGGGTAGGCTGTCCCTGCTAAGACCCTTTTCCAATCCACTGAGTGCACTTTTTTCAAGTGACAGGCCCATGCCTTCACTTCTGTTTGGGATGGGATCTCATGAGCCAAACACTTTCTGACTTGGTCTCTGGGTTACACCCCCCCTAGTTGTCAATCATGCTGTAACAGCATATGTTTGCAGTGATACAGAAATAGCTTATTTAAAACGAAGCAGGATTTATTTTGCCAAAATGTACAAAGTGCCCCGCGAAGTGGATTTAAAAGAACAAAGAGACTTATATGCATATTTCCTTACCTAATCTTAACCGTTATATCTATAGCTCAAGAAGGTCTGTCTTATTTCCTATCTCTGAGATGGGAGATCTAGCCTACACTTCATGCCGCATACTTCTCCTGCCTGTGAATGAGTTCTTCCAGTGTGTCAGCTTTTTCATTGACACACCTAGGGCCAGTTCTCCCAGCTCACTCACGGTCACCTTCCCTTTTCCTAGGATCCTTGGGGTTTCAGGTTTCCTTTGTTCCCAGGCTTAGCCTTGGGCAGAGTAAAGACATTCTAAACTGGATGGAGCCAGCTAGGTAACTTCTCCCCCTAGAAGAGGGCCCAGTCATTGTTCTCTTAGCTGCTTTGAGAGTGTGTACCTGAAGCTGTCTTAAATCTTAGTACTTGTTGTGGTTCCTGCCCCTAAGCCAACCTCAAGCTCCAGTCTGTCTTAACCCTTTGCATTCAAGTAGGCAGCAAGACAGAAATTGAACAGAGAAACCAACTCAACCATGGCATTCATAAGAAATAACACAGACTTTTTCTCAGTTCATCACAGTTGCTATGATCACATCTACCACCACAAGCTGCTCAAGGTTTCATACCTTTGACACTGAAATCACCTACCTGAACTGACAAGAGTAGGGCCAACCACTTGACTTAGGGAAACCTGCTCAGAATTGGTCAGTGCTGCAGATGTAGTTTGCCGCAAAAAATTCACAGATTTTAAGGCCTAAAGGGATCATTATGCCAATCTAGCGTGAATCCAGCTGAACATAGGCGACAAATTGAGAAACCCATCGGTCATATTTGCCACAAATGTATAGAATGACACATTTTATGACTCCCAACGGAGTGCCTATGCTAATGTCACAAGATGAAGACTTTAGAGACACATCCTGCACTGCTGTAGTAACATGACAGCACACTGCCCCGCAAGATTGGATTAATTGTAGTAAAGATTATATATTGATAAGGAATAAGTTGACGGGACGGGGTAGAATAATGGTCCTGGAAAAGTAAGTCCAGCAGCATTGTGATAATGCACTTTACAACCTGGCATACGAGGTCATCGGGACACAGTCTGCACTGGATAATTATGAGATGACAGAGCAGACGGGAACATAGAATGTGCCGTGCGACGACAGAAGAAATGTCCAGGTAGTCTGGGTAGTTAAAACTCCAGTAGTAGTTAAAAATACTTCAAGGGATCACATTATATAGTGGGACAACAGTCATGCCCAGAACCTGAATAATCCACAGAGGCGCTTGACATGCAGTAGTCACATGTGAACATAGGTGTGCCTAGTAAATATGTTCAAATATATCCTAGTAGAGAGAATGGACCATATTGCATTAAAGAATATTATGTCTGTAAGTGGGAAAGGAGTCAGACATGATCTATTAAATTAGAAAGCACCTTGAAACGAGGCAAGGATGCAGTGGAATTAAGAGTCTTCAGGCTTCTGGTGATCTTTAAAACAGGAAAACTCAACTGCAAAAAAAAAATCTAGATACAAACTGGGTTAGTTTTGGGGATTTCTCATTTACAGTGTGTATTCAATACTGGAATGGGAATACTGTATTGAAGTTGCCCAATATGGGTGCCTTACATGTGCTACACCTGAGTAGGGGAGTGGAAATGCCACAAGGTTCCCTTGCAGAGTTTCCACTTGGGGTGTTTGTGGAGGACATAGGTTTGCTCCCAGTGGCATGACCAAGGAGGTTCAGCACTGAAAAATCAGTGGATCCCCCAATATCTGTGGAGGCCTTCTGCCCCCACAGCCCCTTTCAGGCTCCCTGGAAAGGAAGCAAAGCTGTTGGACCCATGCGCTACTTGGACTCCTGCAATGGCTGGTGGCCTACCCTTCGCCCAAGGATGGTCGAGGAGGAAAGTAAGTAAGTTAATCCTGCCAGGGTATGTCCAGGACATCACAAAGAAATTCAGAAGAGGTGGATTGTCTTGTTTTTCTTTTTTTAAAGTTCAAGTTGTAATGCATACATGCTTCAGCATGCCAGCCTGGCCCAATAGTCTCCTGTCACTTGTATTCTGATTGTTCTACTACTATTTTATATTTGTTTTATTTAGGACTGTCAAGCGATTAAAAAAATTAATTGCGTTTAATCGCACTGTTAAAGAATAATAGAATACCATTTATTTAAATATTTTTGGATGTTTTCTACATTTTCAAATATATTGATTTCAATTACAACACAGAATACAAAGTGTACAGTACTCACTTTATATTATTTTTATTACAAATATTTGCACAGTAAAAACAACATAAATAGTATTTTTCAATTCGCCTAATACAAATAATGTAGTTCAATCTCTTTATCATGAAAGTTGAACTTAAAAATGTAGAATTATGTATAAAAAACTGCACTCAAAAATAAAACCATGTAAAACTTTAGACCCTACAAGTCCACTCAGTCCTACTTCTTGTTCAGCCAATTGCTCAGATAAACAAGTTTCTTTACATTTGCAGGAGATAATGCTGCCCACGTCTTGTTTACAATGTCACCTGAAAGTGACAACAGATGTTTGCATGGCACTGTTGTAGACGGTGATGCAAGATATTTACGTGCCAGATGCGCTAAAGATTCATATGTCCTTTCATGCGTCAACCACCTTCCAGAGGACATATGTCCATGCTGATAAGGGGTTCTGCTCGATAACAATCCAAAGCAGTGCAGACCAACGCATATTCATTTTCATCATCTGAATCAGATGCCATCACTGATTTTCTTTTTTGGTGGTTTGTGTTCTGTAGTTTCCACATCAGAGTGTTGCTCTTTTTAAGACTTCTGAAAGCATGCTCCACAGTTTGTCCCTCTCAGATTTTGGAAGTCACTTCAGATTCTTAAACCTTGGGTCGAGTGCTGTAGCTATCTTTACAAATCTCACATTGGTACGTTCTTTGT